TGCATAAAATCTAGCTATAGTGGCATTGTTAATGCACCTCACATGGTTTTGATTAATTAGTATATCTAAAACCCCAACGTCTTATGTCTCATATGTAGGTCCAGCAGAAAATCTGGAAGAATCTGTGGGATTCCACCGTTACTCATTTTCAAGCAATTAACCAATCACAAAAAAGTCATCTTAACTAATCTGGTTCCGAATATAATTAGAAACGGACCGTGCGGAACACCAGTTACCTTAATTAATAGTACGTAATACATTAAAAAAAACCCGAGGTTTCATTGACAGTTCAAATAACATGATCTGAGCGACGAGGTGAGTAATACAGTAATACAATAGCAGCAGCACATGCGGAAGTGCAATTAAAGAAGCACCACATTGCTCGGACCTTGATCTTTCTCAATTTATTTGTCTTCAATATCATAAATAAAAATCCAAAATTTAATTTTCTTCTCTATCTTCAAAGTTTTGACATTCTTTTGTTTTTATTGTACTTTGATTTAAAAGTCTTGGGATAACAAGCCGTAAGACTTGGTTTCACAATACTTCCCATAACCACTGTACCCGAACCAAGTTGGAGGTTTCTGCGCTTTTAACGACGGAACTGTCATCTTTGACAGTTGACGCATCTGAACATATGAGCAACGGTGAACTTGGTAAGAATCTAATTATTTTTTCATTTGCAGTTCTTTCTCTGAGATCTAAGCCGTGGCTTGATAAAGCAAACAGCGGTCTCTTAAAAAAAACTCAACTGACTCAATCTTTATTACTTTATTTTTCATATATGCTATTCATATTATCCTAACCGGACAATCTTTGGTCACATATAAATATTAAATATATAATATACAATTATACACGAAACAACCAACGTCACAATGAAATCTCACAATAACAATAAATATTTATAAGTTGTTGACTCAGGTAAAATCCATGTCCTAAAACAACAAGTTCATAGTCTTCGGCACGATCTTGCCGAAAAAAATGCATTACTCACCACAGTGCAGAAACAACTTAACCGAAATCAACCAAACCAACCAAATGGCGTCGTGCAAAGCGAGTCTACCACTGGAAGGGTAATTGAAAATTTACAAGCAGAAATAGATCATCTAAAAAGAGATCTCGGTGATTCAAAAACTCAAATTCATGTTGCTAAAGTTTCTCGTGAAAGAGCTGAAAGACAAGTACAGGAGCACTTGGCATCACATCAAACTTTACGGCTTGAAATTGATTCCTTGAAAAGAATGCTAGAAAGGAAGGAAAGACAAACTAAAGAACTAGAAGAATCAACTAAGGAAGTTGAGAAGAAAAATTCAGATATGAAATTTGAACGAGATAATGCAAATTTAAAACTCCGTCAATCGGAACTGAAAGTATCCGATCTGGAACGAAAATTACAGGAAGCTTTGGCCGGTAAAGAAAAAGCAGAATATGAATATGCTCTTTTATCTAAAGAAATGCAATCCTTTAAAACTCGGTATACCAAAGACGTTGAGATTGTTAAAAAAGAATTTAAATCTCTTCGTGAAGAAATGAATTCAACTTCACGACAATTGGAAGATGTTGTCTTGATGACAAGTGTTCGAATTGAGGAGTTAAATTCAGAACGCAAGGAAGAATTAGGGAATTTGGAATCAATTCATGCCCAATTACAAGAAAATCAAGAGAAGTATTCTGCTAAATTGTTTAGTGAAATTGAGGCAATGAAGAAGGACGTGGAAACCTCAAGTCAAAAGACTAGGGAATACAGCGAACAGGTGGCAAAGATTAAAGGCGAAATAGCGGGTAAATTGAACTGGTTGAAACGAATTGAAAGAGTACAACAGAAATCTTGATTAATGATTTATAGGTTACAACTTTAATATGACGAATAAAATATATTCTAAATTTGAAACTATTAATTTATATAAAAAAAAAAAATTATTTCAATCAATATTGTTCTTTAATGAACTAAATATATGATTGACGTTTTATGTAGTCTTTTCTAAAACAAAATTAAAATCGGGTTTCCCCAGTGGACATTATATATAACTTCATTTAGTCTGAGCTGCAATTATTCATTTGACTTAAAATTGTCTTTCTTGTAGATTTTTGTATTCTTATATAAGCCTATTCATATATTGTACTTTACCTACATCAATTTATTTATTATCCTTTTTTTTCCTTTTTTTTTTTTTTTTTTTTTTTTTTGGAAGCAAACATGACGTGAATCAAAGTTTGTTCAACGTTGGTTCCTCTAAGATATTCGTCTAATATTATACGATAAATATGAATTTTTATTAATAATTACACATAAAATACTGTGCTGAAAGCCATCTATGATATACACTATGATATACAATAGTACTCCGTATAATCACTCACGCAATTAGTCTATGTGTGATTATGATCACGGAGTAACAAGACGAAAAAATGAATTTGGTAATTGTATGACTTCAATCCGAACACCAACTATAAATAATCATTTATTTTTGATTTGTCCTCTTAAAAAAATGATGAACACCAAGATACACAACATACATAAATATTACGATATTCTCTAAAATGTCATTAGGTACTTGTTATAAATTGTTTAAGTGTCGGTATGTATACATTTAATCGCACAGAAATATTCAATTATTAAGCACATATGGTATGATCATAATCGATTGTTGGTACAACCGATGACATGAATTTTAAGAATATAATAAGGTATCTGAAAAAAAAAATGGTTATGTGACAGTGTTAATCACCTAAGAACATAACATATACATAAATTTATTTCATTTAAAATACTCACTGATCAACTCTCACTTGTGCTTGCTCCACTGACGGAGCGTTAGAATCTGCAGCATTCCCAAATTGCTGCTGAAGTAATTCAAATTTTTTTATGCTTTCTTCATTCATCTTTTCGATAATCTTTTTCATAACTTGAGCATGACGACATGGATGAATACTAGCCAAAGACATATTCAAATGTGGATGAGTTTCAATAGTTACGGTTTTTTTGGCATAGTCTTGGGAAATATCTTCAAAGGTTTGGATCGAAGTCAGTGGCCGTCGATGCTATATATCATTTAGAATAAACATATGCAAAATATATGTAATAATCTGAAATAATAATACAAATGGAGTACTTAGTCTTTAAATGATTTACCTCATCGTAGCCAAATAGCCACATACGAGGTGTTTGATAATATTTATCATATGTAATAAATACGTCGTATGTTCGCACTTGAAGAATTTTATCACTATTATTGAAATAATAAATTGTTTAGACATAAGCTAAAAATTTGAGAAACTTATAAAAGGCAAAATTAAATCTAACATACCTTGGTCCATCGTCATTTGCCGATGTTCCAGTGTTGTTAGCTTCAGCTAACGTTGCCTAATTGTCCATTTATTATTAGATATATAAAAAAATTTTTACAAAAATTGAAAAAATGGTAATTGTCGCGTACTGGATCATCTTCTTCAGCCACACCGTCACCAATATCATCCATGTCTGGAATATCGTTGATATCAGGAACGTCGACTTCCTCCTTCTCATTCGCTTCTTCCAATACAATGTTACTAATTTTTTTGCAAATTTCATCTTCTTCACCTTCAATCTGTGCGATTTCCTCAATATTTGTTGTTGCTTTTAAAAAAATTATGATCATTATGAAAAATATTTATAAAAATGGATTGTAGATTATAAATTATGATTTATGGATGGTTTACCACGACCACTATGAGTGGCAACCCATGCATCTTCGCCATTCTCGGTTTCGATTTGAGTTTCAGCATCTTCATCTGTATATTCCATCTGTTTAACGCGTCTTAAGCAAGGAACTTTTTTAAAAAATCATAATCGGAATTAATTTAAAGTTCTCATACTAATAATTGTAAATCGGTTTAGAGAATATTATACCATTTTTTGTAATAAGAAATTGCTTTTCAATTGGAAGGTAATCTCGTCTTTTGCTCACTTCACCGATTTCCCTAAAAATAAATTATAACATTAGATGAGTATATTTATGATCGACTTTTTTTAGTGCAAATGAACTAAAATAAATACCATTTCCAAGTCGGACATTTGTAGACCAAAAAGTCACCGGCAGCTATAAACTAAATGTGGTTTTCAAAAACAAATATTGTTTAAAACACACAGTAAAGTAGTTGCGATCACTCTTGCGACGCAAAAATGAACGGTTGATTCTATGATAAAGAAAAAAAAAACAGGTTTTCAAACCTCTTCAGGTGTAATGCAACCAGTTTCTTTGAACTTTGAATTTTTGAGTACGGGGCTAAGATACTCCCGAATTCCAAAAAAAAGTGACTGAACTGAATTCATGATTTTCTGTATTAATATTGATTCAAAAGAAAGTCTGGATTTTTTATATAGACTCTATTTAAGTTTCGGTGTCATGTGGATACTCCGAATGGAAACAACCAATCACAAAAAATATAAATGGCTAGCATTTTAGCTATTCTTGTTTAACATATTTGAACTTGTTATACGGATAATTAATATAATTAATGCTAATGCTTGCACTGAGGCAGCTAAATCATGAAAACTTAATGAATATACTGTATATACTATCTATATACAGTATATCTTTTACTGTAATTAAATCAAACTTCTTGTATAAATTTACATGGGTATATCAACTTCATTATATTACTAATTAAGACATTTAGAACTCTTTACATAAACATGTCTTATGACTAATATGATTGAATCAAAAATTATTTTGAGTGAATTTTTAATTGTATGTTTGCTTACGAATCGCTTATACGCAGTAAATATTATGATACGTATTAGCCGTAAAAATGTGGCACAGCATTCTCTACTTTTTTCAATTTCAAATTAACAGGAATAACTTGAAGAAAATTTTATTGCTATTTCCGCTAATCTGAAATTAAAAAGTCAAAAAAAAATAAATTAAAAAGCGTATATAAATTAAAAAAAAATTAAAGGGGAGCTGTGCTTATTTCATAATTCTATTATTAGGGGGTTTCAAAGTTAACAAATAAGCGACGCATTTCGAAAATAAATAGGATTTTTTCAATAGTATTTTTACTATGTTGAATTATAAATCGGAAAAATAAAATG